AGGACAGGATTTCAGCTGCAGTGGGGCTGCCCCTTCTTGGACTTCTTTGCCTTCTTCACCTTACCCTTTTTACCAGTGCCACTGGCAGAAGCCTTCTGGGCTTCAGGTTTCTTCTCTTTAGTGTCTGGCTTCTCAGTTTTTTCACCCGCCATCTTGCAAGATGGGAAAGAGACCAACCTGTGCTTTTAATTGTTGGAAAAAAAAATTTAAAAAGGATTTTATTTATGAAATAAACATGCTTTGAAAACATTCCTCATTATTATAGACTGCTAAATCAGATACAAATTAGTTTACAGTCGGTGAAGGATTGGGCCCTCAAGTTGGAAAAAAAAATAGTAAACATCAGAATCATGCCTAGAGTCAAATTAGAAGAGAGCCAGGCCTCAGGAGGGAAATGCAATAGTCAGGCGTTCCAGATAAAACAGCAACTTGAGATTGTCCTGGAATTAGTACCAGCTGGTTCAGTGGGTCCAGAGAGGCATCAGACATATAGGTGGGTGACCAGAACTCCTGAACCATACTTCTCTCTCTTTCTAAGAATTCCTTTGTTCTTTCCATCTATGTGACTCATTTCCCTGTTGGATCAATATTAGCTAAGTGGCTATACTTGTAATCCTATATATTGATTGTAGTTTGACCCATGTTGTACCCATGTTGTGACTTTGCTGTATGAATTACCCATGATGAGGGGCATCAGTGGCCACCCATTTGGGACCCCTTCCTGGAAATCCAGAAGCTATTCTTGTTTCCCTTATTTGCAATAAAATTCTCCTGTCTTCCTCCTTTGATTCATCTCCTCATCCCTCAATGTAGTGAAACCAAGAACTTAACACGAGGCATCTAACAGGTTGGGAGTTGTATTTTTTTCCTATATTGCTCACTGTTGGCTGGTGAGCTCCACACTCACCATAAGCATGCTAGGTCTGGAAGTTGTGTCCTTTCGTGCACACCTGCAGCTTGAGCCTTCCTATCTGACAGTGCCTTCAACTTTAGAAGGGTTTCAGGATGATCTGGAAGAGGTGAAGCTGTTACTTGAAAAGGCCACTAGGAAAACAATACATGGTGCCGTGACAACTAAAAAAAACTCCAAGATTGAAACAGAAATAAAGAATAAGATGCAACAAAAATCACAAAAGAAACTGGAACTTCTTGACAATGAAAAAACAGCTGCTTTGGTTGCTCCCGTCCCAACAGGATACACAGTGGAAACCGGTAGTTATGGATGGATCGGTCAGATAAGTTTGTTACATTACCCTAACTGGAATTCAGGTTCCTGCTGAGAATGTGCAGGTGCATTTCACAGAGAGGTTATTTGATCTTTTGGTAAAGAATCTAAGTGGGAAGAGTTACTCTATGATTGTGAACAGTTTCTTAAAACCCATCTCAGTGGAAGTTAGTTTAAAAAAAATCAAGCCATGGGCCGGGGAGATGGCTCAGTGGAATAAGCGCTTCCCTGGCAAGCACAGGGACCTGAGTTCAATCCCTGGTTCCACAAAAAAATAAATAAATAAATAAAAATAAAAATCAAGCCTTATACAGTTCTTAGCATATGTAGAAAGGAAACAAAACACACAGTGGGAGTACTTGACTCAGGTTAAGACAGTGTAAAGTGGGGCTGGGAAAGTGGCTTGGTAGAATAAGTGCTTCCCTGGCAAGCTCAAGGGCCTGAGTTCAATCCCCAGTTCC